GCTGAAGGCATACTTCTGCCAGAGCACTGAAATCGGGAATGGCGAGAACATCGACTCACCGGATCCCGCCGGGCCGCGACTTTTGCAAAAGAAATCCTAACCAAGATGCCATTGGAGATAATTACTGATTAGCCCTTGTCGGGTCAACTCAACATGTGCCGTGTGGCAGCCACACATCGGGTCATTGGGTTCGCCCTGTGACTAGGGTGGGTTTAGCTTAGTGGTTAGAGCGCTGGCTCAAGTCGCTTACGCGGCAGCTGAACCGCGAGGAAAAAGCCGAGATGAAGCTCCAAAGGGTTTTCTTGCATGTCGGCCTCCAATCGATTGTGCCAAGATTGTGCCAAATCGTAGAGCAAGCTAGTACTGGATGTGCCTCGCTTCGCATGCTGGCTGGATTGTGCCAAATTGTAGTACAAGCTTAGTACTGGATGTGCCTCGCTTCGCATGCTGGCTGGATTGTGCCACATCGTAGTACAAGCTTAGTACTGGATGTGCCTCGCTTCGCATGCTGGCTGGATTGTGCCAAATTGTAGTACAAGCTTAGTACTGGATGTGCCTCGCTTCGCATGCTGGCTGCGATTGTGGCCCACATCGTAGTACAAGCTTAGTACTGGATGTGCCTCGCTTCGCATGCTGGCTGGATTGTGCCACATCGTAGTACAAGCTTAGTACTGGATGTGCCTCGCTTCGCATGCTGGCTGGATTGTGCCAAATCGTAGTACAAGCTTAGTACTGGATGTGCCTCGCTTCGCATGCTGGCTGGATTGTGCCAAATCGTAGTACAAGCTTAGTACTGGATGTGCCTCGCTTCGCATGCTGGGGGATTGTGCCACATCGTAGTACAAGCTTAGTAATGGATGGGCTGGCATGCTGGCGATTGGCCCCCAATCGTAGAACAAGTTAATTAGTACTGCATGCTGGCTGGATTGTGCCAAATCGTAGTACAAGCTTAGTACTGGATGTGCCTCGCTTCGCATGCTGGCTGGATTGTGCCAAATCGTAGTACAAGCTTAGTACTGGATGTGCCTCGTTTCGCATGCTGGCTGGATTGTGCCACATCGTAGTACAAGCTTAGTACTGGATGTGCCTCGCTTCGCATGCTGGCTGGATTGTGCCAAATCGTAGTACAAGCTTAGTACTGGATGTGCCTCGCTTCGCATGCTGGCTGGATTGTGCCACATCGTAGTACAAGCTTAGTACTGGATGTGCCTCGCTTCGCATCGCTGGATTGTGCCAAATCGTAGTACAAGCTTAGTACTGGATGTGCCTCGCTTCGCATGCTGGCGGATTGTGCCACATCGTAGTACAAGCTTAGTACTGGATGTGCCTCGCTTCGCATGCTGGCTGGATTGTCCCACATCGTAGTACAAGCTTAGTACTGGATGTTCCTCGCTTCGCATGCTGGCTGGATTGTGCCACATCCGTAGGATGTGCCTCGCTTCGCATGCTGGCTGGATTGTGCCAATCGTAGTACAAGCTTAGTACTGGATGTGCCTCGCTTCGCATGCTGGCTGGATTGTGCCAAATCGTAGTACAAGCTTAGTACTGGATGTGCCTCGCTTCGCATGCTGGCTGGATTGTGCCAAATCGTAGTACAAGCTTAGTACTGGATGTGCCTCGCTTCGCATGCTGGCTGGATTGTGCCACATCGTAGTACAAGCTTAGTACTGGATGTGCCTCGCTTCGCATGCTGGCTGGATTGTGCCAAATCGTAGTACAAGCTTAGTACTGGATGTGCCTCGCTTCGCATGCTGGCTGGATTGTGCCACATCGTAGTACAAGCTTAGTACTGGATGTGCCTCGCTTCGCATGCTGGCTGGATTGTGCCAAATCGTAGTACAAGCTTAGTACTGGATGTGCCTCGCTTCGCATGCTGGCTGGATTGTGCCACATCGTAGTACAAGCTTAGTACTGGATGTGCCTCGCTTCGCATGCTGGCTGGATTGTGCCAAATCGTAGTACAAGCTTAGTACTGGATGTGCCTCGCTTCGCATGCTGGCTGGATTGTGCCACATCGTAGTACAAGCTTAGTACTGGATGTGCCTCGCTTCGCATGCTGGCTGGATTGTGCCAAATCGTAGTACAAGCTTAGTACTGGATGTGCCTCGCTTCGCATGCTGGCTGGATTGTGCCAAATCGTAGTACAAGCTTAGTACTGGATGTGCCTCGTTTCGCATGCTGGCTGAATTGTGCTAAGCTGGCTGGATTGTGCCAAATCGACACAATTAATTAATTAATTAATTGGGTTGAAAGCTTAGGTAAGCCAGCTGCTGACAGCCATGAACAGCCAGACAGCGGCTCTCCAGGCACACAGCCAGAAACTTCCAATCTTTCAACAAGACAGACAGACATCAGCCAGGCAGTGGCAGACAAGTTGGCCACGCAAACGGATGTCTTGACAGACATCCAGGCAGAACAGATCAAACCACCAAAACCCAACTCGACCCTGGCACCTGCGAAGGAAGAGCTGCACGCCGTGGGAAAGGCAGTCAGCTGTGCTGAAAGACGTCAGGCGGGGGGAATCACAGCCAAGGGAACGAGCTGGGGATAATCAGCGGGAAAGAAGACCCTGTTGAGCTTGACTCTAGTCCGACTTTGTGCGATGACTTAATTAATTAATTAGGTGGGAGCTTCAGTGATCTTGAAATAATTAATGAATTACCACTAATAAACCATGAGCAGGACACCTGGATGGCCTTCTCCTCCGACATCGGCCGCCACAGTGAGCAGGCTGAGACAGGCAGAGAGAAGAGACAGGTGTGGCTGCAGGCAGCACTTGCCAGAGCCAGACAGGCAGGTCCGCCCTTCAGCTGGGCACTTTTGTGCTGCTGCGCAGACTAATGTCTGCCAGACAGACAGATAGGCATGCCAGGTAGCTAGTTCGCAGACCCCTTAACCTTAAACCCTAGTTTCTAAGACAGACAGGCAGTACAAACCCGCAGTGCACACAGGCAGCCTATCTGCAAGATCTATATAGCGAGGTAGGCTAGGCCAGCCAAGCTCGCAAAGACAGCAGCTGCAGACAGGCAGACAGACAGCTGCCCAAAAAGACCGACGACTCAGCCAGCCTAAACCCTAAACCCTAAACCCTAAACCTTCCCCCTAATTCAAATTAGGGTTTAAAGGGCGGTGCTACTTCCGGGTGGATCGGGGGAAAAGTGTTTTTATAATTAGGGGTCCCTTTAATAAAAGGGGGAAGGGATTAAATGTGAAGCTCCACACTCTACTGGCAAGAGCTTGGCCTCCATGACGAGTGGGTCAGCACCGCCCGCCGCAGCATCGCCATGACCGGGGAAGGTGTCTCGAAAAAGAAATGAGAACAATACTCGGCCTCATCTCGGGCATCGGACATAAGACTTCCAAAATGCTGTTCTAATCATTCAGGCCCTTATGTTGGCGTCTAGGGAACTCAGAGAGGGCCTTGAACTTCGGAGCATAAGACTTCCATCCACGGGTTTCTGGAGCTGAGGCTCCTTTATAATACCGAACCCTGAGGAACAGTATATATATATATATTTATATTTATATTTATATATATATATATAGATACATAGATAAATATATATACATATACACACACAGAGTTGCTGCATTCATAAAAAAAGACCCTAAGGAATAGTATTGGCAGTTATTGCTCCGAAGCTGGGTCGCTTGAGAAACGAAGCTGAGGGGGCGCCGATCAAACTTCCACTGCCCCCTGTGGCCCGAAATGACTGCAGCCCTACGACTTGCTTTCTAAACCCCAAACCCTGGAAACCCAAATCCTACATCTTGAACCCTCAACCCTCACCCCTAAACTCTACATCCTGAACGCAAGGCCCTGCAGCCTGAACCCCAACAAGGGCACAGCCAGCGCGAGGAGCAAAACACGGGCTGGCAGCGAGCATGCGGCAGCTAATCCAGTTTCACAAACCCAGAACCCCAGAGCATAACCGGCAAACCGAAAACCTCAAACTTTGCGGGCTGCTTACCATAAGACTCGCAGCCTAACCCTCAATCCCTAAACCTCGTGACCTTAGTTGTCGGGTCGTCACGGGATTTTCCAGGTTGACAACAGAACATGTTACACACACACAAGAGGTTCTGTGGGTGGTGAGCTTAGGACGCTCAGTTCTTCAGGATTTGTATAGGTTTTGGGAATATTTGGAGTGATACTATCACGCTGAACGGTATATAGCTAAGCACCATGTCATACAATATTGAAGCGGCGAGTCTTCTGCAATATCGCCTGATGGAGTGAAGCCTGGTCTTGTCTAGGATAGTCTGGTCTAGTCTAAGTCCAGTGTAGTAAAGTCCGGGCCAGCAGTCTAGCACAGCTTAGCTTGCTGGTTTCAGAGAATCGGTGTAAACTCATCTTCAATTTTTTACTTTCCGAGTTGAGGCTCTGAGGTTCGCACGGTTCAAGGGCTTCGATCTAGGGTGGGTATACTATGGTGGTGACGGGGTAAAATTTAGGCTTCAGAACTTCGGGTCTAGTCTAGGGTGCTTTGGGTTTCGGGCTCTGGGTTCGGGTCGCCGGTGTATCATGCCTGGGGAGCCTGAGCCCTTCTAGACCCTGCGGCCTAATAAACGGGCTACATAGCGCTACTGGAAGAAGGCTTTTGGAGACTGTTATATATTATAAGTATGTTTAGGAATTGTAAGGAACAGTACGGGCAATTATTTTGGACCCTATATGGAACTCTGGAACAAAGCCAACCCCTGCGCATCTCTTTTTTGGTGAGAGGCGCAGACGATCGGATCAGGCTCAGTTCAGAAGGACACCTGGAGTTTTAGGAACCGGTACTCGTCAGCGCAACTTGTCAATATGAGTATGCATATACGCATACACACCTTGAATGCTCAGATATATAGGTCTGTCTGCTTGTCTGTCCACCCGTAAGTCTATCGGTGCGTCTTCGTATATGGCAGGCTAGAGCTTCCCATGCAACCCGTACAGAACCCATCTAGTCTAGAGCTGTAAGTAGATCCTTCCTATGGGTTGAGCCGCAACGTTCCGCTCAGGCGACAAGGAAGTCCACAAAGTCGCGACGACAACTTGGCATTTGTGCAGACTGAGTTTGTGGACTTGGCGTCAGGGTGAGTCTGAACAGCCCAAACTCTACCTTTTTTCGGATCTGTTTTCAGAAATTATGCGGATCTTCAAGTTCTTGCAAATACTCTTTGCTGCATGTTTGAAGCTCGAAGATTCCCGACCCAAGTTCCCTATCCGGGTTGGGACATATGTTTCCGGAAATATGCTGAGCCCTTACCGTCGGCTTACCCAAGGATTTCGAAAGCCATGAGAGGGTTTCGGATTCATGCTTTTGGCCCTTAACCCTAAACCTTAGACCGAAACTTTAAGGTATACTCTTCCAGGGTTGAGGCTTCGAGCTTTAGAGCTTCAGTGCTTGCAGGCTTGAGGCCTTAGAGTCTAACAGGACCTTCCCTGCCACAAAGCATCAAGCACAAGCCCAACGGAATATAGGGTTTAGGGTTTACGGTTCAGGGTTTAAGGTTAATTAAACTACTATTTGGGTACATGGACGCTTTGCGAATAGAATGAAGCGCCACCTCCGATGTATGTCTCTTGCACATACCTTACGTTCAAACGCATGCGTGGTTGCTGACATATTACTGTATGCCCTGCTTGCCGTTGGATCTACCTACACAGCCACCATCTGTTATCCATCCCTTCGCTCTGCACATACGCACATACATACATACGTGCATGCATGCATGCATACATACACACATACACACACACACAGACAGCTGTTTACATAAAAGCACACACATACGAAGGCTGCAGAACTCATAATACACAGATAAAAAAGTAGATAGATTGTGATGGGTATGCGCATCAAAGCAGGCAGCTACATAGGACATGCGATAGGCAATGCTATAGCTGAGAGATATACTGGTAAAGAGGCACTAGATTGAGAAGTACGCTACGCATGAATGACTGATTGATTGATTGATTGCCTGCGGGTGCGAAAACCCTTGCGCGGCAAAGGAAGCTGCTCCGTGCTGTACACACAGACAGCTCTCACACACTCGACGGCTGCACACAGGCAGAGTTGCGGACAGCTCTACACGGCACCAACAACACGGCAAAAATCATACATTACTACTCCATGTCATACCGATTTGTCTGTCTATCTGTCTCGCTGTGGACCTGTCTATCTACCTATCTCTCTACCTGTCACCGTCTTTTTATCTATCTGGCTACATACACGAACGTGAAGAATCGCTCAAACTTCTCGAACGCCACCAAGCCTACACCCCTGTGCGATCTCGCACATTGAGCTCATGGGCCCTGACCGCCTGGGCCCCTTCGGAGCCTCCAGGGCAAGAAGTTGAGGGTTTGGGTTTGGGGTTAGGGTTCAGGGCTCAAGGTTTGGGGTTTAGGGGTGTAGGGTTTAGGGTTCAAGGTGTAGGGTTTGCTCGGGGATAGTATGCGGCTGTATTTTGCGAGAAGATTGTGACGCCTGCGTCGTGCTGTGGGGCGGTGTGTTGTGAAAACCTGTCTATGTCAGGCTTCTCCTTTCTTCTTTCCCCTCGCCGCCTAAGGCCAAACCTATTCCTTGCAAGGCTTGGGGACATGCCAGTTTTCTCCCTTCCGTCCGGGCAGGGGGGCACAGGGGCGGGGGTCGCAGGGAAGTCCAGGCGTGCCAGACAAGGCATGGCTTTCGTGGCCTTTTTTAGGTGGGTCTCGAACCAGCCAGCCACCCCCGCGCAAGGGAAGTACTCGTAGAATCTGTTCCAGTAGCGGGCACGACGTGGGTGAGACATGGTACCATGTTTGCATAAAGAGCACCCAGCTTTTTCTTCTGTGGCACAAGTACCACGGCCGGGCCCAGGCCGCCACGATCTGCTGCTCCTGGACGAGTAGTGCCACGGCCTCTTCCGCACGGTCTTGGAAGCCAGTGGCCCTCCGGATCGTGTTGGGGGCTTGCGTGCCAAGGCCCGCTTCCAGCACAGCAGGGAGGAGTCCAGGATGGCTACGACCCCCCGCCTGTCTCCCACGGCCGCCTTTGCCACCGCAGACCACAAGGCCACGGCTATGTTCTCCGTGAAGGAGAGCCACGGCGAAGCCTGTCAGAGAGCAAAGCGGCTCAGACAAGTCATCGCTCGATTTAGCCGAAGCACCCTGTGGTTCCGGGCGATATGTTCGGCCACGGTGACGTCTGCACTCCCCTTGGCTACGTGGCAGTGCTGGAAGGTGTCAGTGCCCCTATACCAATATCCTGAGCAAGCAGGACCGAATCATTCGAACAATGCTTGGCGACTCCTTGGCTGCTGTCGTGGATCGCGGTATGGGTTGGCCGCACATCTGAAACGTTACCTTTACTTTCTCTTCCTTCGGGCCGGTGGCTGGCGCGAATTGGAAAGCCTGACGAGGCACTTTCCAAAGACACTTCTAAGAAAGCCGAGGCCACTACATCATAGGGAACGGACATGTTTCAGGCGAAAGAGGTCCGAGGGCACAAGAGGCTAGCCGGTGCGGAGATATTTTCGTGAGTGTGAATCTTCCGCCAGCAGGCGCAACAACGTGTAGCAACAACCTAAATAACGTACCGTGCTTCCCCCCCCCACCACCCCCCGCCAGCCCCAAGCCCCTCCCCCCCAAACCAAGCCAAGCCAAGCCATTTTGAATCAGAACTCCCTATCCTATCACCCAAGGCCCTCCTCCCCTTAAACCCCAAATCCTAAGGCAGAGTATTGTCTTCCACTCGGCTGTTCCTGTCGTCAGAAAGCATAAGACACCACTAAAGGCCAAAATGTACGAACAAATCTAGGAAATTCACACAGGCGCTGGCGGCGTTCGCCGGCACCGCCGCGATCTGGGGATGTTCACGTTGGAGGCTCTCCGTCTCCACTTACCGCAATATACCTGACTTGGACATGTCAAGTTGGTTGGCCCTGCGAGGTCTGAACACCCCCACCGTGCGAGCCGCCACCGCTGCCGCAGAACTACATGCGCTGACCCCAAATGTACCTTGCGGAGAGCCCGAAACTGGTGCAATGAACTGATGTCTTCTGTTCCTCTCGGTTAAACATGCCAGTGACATCGCAGCCCTTGAGTTTTCGGACAGCTCAAGAACGATGCTTTAGGTTCTCTGGTCATGGCTCGCCGTCGTCCTGCGAACCCACTTTTTGGGGTTTAGGGATTAGAGATTTAGGGCTTAGGTTTGAGAGTATCCAGTAGTCAGAGAGGCACCTTTTAGGGTTGGGCGGACCTTTTCTACCCCACACCCAGAATAAATCGCTCCTTTCGTGTGTTCAACCGGAACTGCTTGCGGTTTAGGGCTTTAGGCTTTAGGGCGTATGGCCCTAAACCCAAACCCTAAACCCTAAACCCCTGCCTTGCTGGGAGCGCAAGCTTACTATAGTCTACTATGATGGGATATACTAGAGTGCAAGCTGGCAAGTTGGAACATCATTATCCTGATGCCATTAAGGTACAGTATAGGGCCTTGTAGAGGGAGGTCCAGCACCAACCATCCTAAATCCATGTTCCGACTTTCTGGGGTTCACTATAGATTCTATAGATTATACTTTAATGTGCCATAATACACTTGTTGATATAAATCCTGCATTACTTTAATGACCCTAAGCTATAGGAATTATGGTAGACTCCTTATTATTATGGGTCATGCTGGATTTATGTCATCAACCATATGGCGACGGCCTTGCTAAGTTCCGGAGCGAGTCGGAGAGGCGGTCCCGAATTCGGGCGCTTTGATGGGGACGGCTGGTGGCTCTGAAACCCCTGCTTGGAGGGGCAGGGGACTTAGTAAGGATTCTTAAAGGGCTACTTTAAGGGATCTATAGGGCTCCTTGGAGGGATCTATGGGGTTTAGGGTTTAGGGTCTACTTGGCGCGGCAGGGGACTTAGGAAGTAGGTTATAAGTAGAGTTCTAAGTACCCTAAATGGAGTTACCGAAATTATAACCCCACTTATAACCTACTTACTAAGTTCCCTGCCCCTCCAAGTGATCCCAGAAACGGCAAGCTCTAAATCTTCAACGCCAGACATACCCACGACTTTGCGAAACAAACAAACCCAAACCCCGAACCCTCAATACCCCCCATAAACACCAAAACCCGACTCTCCACCACCCTCTCCCGAAAGTGCGAAGCCTAGCCCCTTAGATGGCGCCTTCCGCAAAGGAGGCCAGAAAGTTGGATCATCAGTCCCTGCAAGCCCTCAAGGTGAAGCATACACAATTCCAGCACTACTCCTCAATCCGTTTTACGAGGATTTCGACGTGCTCCGGAGACAGTATCGATCTCTTTTATGACCCTGAGCCGTCGTGTAGTCCTCGATGTAGTTCATCAGTACACGAGCTGATCCGCGTGGGAATTGTCCCATGTCTGCGTGCATAAACTCTAAAAAGTTTAAATCGAAAACCCTAAACTGAATCCATTAAGCCTCAAACCCTAAACCTGAACCTTCAGGCCTCCAGAAACGCTGCCATGGCCAGGTGACCGAAGCCATGCTCTGTGGCTTCTGGCCTGGGAAATGGGGGCATCGAGAATTTGAGAAGTAGGGTTTCGGGTCTCGGGTTTAGGGAATAGGGAAGTAGGGTTCAGGGTGTGGTTGCCTTGGTTTAAGGGGCTTCACCAGGGTTGATTACTACAAACGCTACTACATGGTTATCAGAAGGGCTACAGGAAGTGTTCATCATTGAGCGGCCCTTCTTCAAGGAATTCTCCTGTTCGAGGTCTACATCATTACAAAGTCCCTATTGCCAAAAACTCCCATGCTGGAACTAGGGCCACTAGGGTGGGAGCCAATCGACCCAACACGCAGTCCAAGGGTCTAAGGGTCTGATTAGAGTGATACCTTACGAGCTCACGTTTTTATTGATACGGGCAACTTACTTGGATGATCATGGGACTTAGTACTTATAAGGTTATAAGTACCTTAAGTGGGGTTATAAGTATATTTACCCTGATTATAACCCCAGTTACTAAGTCCCATGATCCTTGAAGTAGGGGCTTAGCGTACAGAAGGGCTGTCGTAGGATTCATCCGCAATGCGCTTTGGCTCTACTCTGCACTTCAGATCAAGATTGCAGGCAGAAATCTTCCAGTAAATACCTACTTGGAAGGGCAGGGGACTTAGGAAGGATTCTGAAAGGGCTCCTTTAAGGGATCTATAGGGCTCCTTGGAGGGATCTATGGGGTTTAGGGTTTAGGGTCTATTTGGCGGGGCAGGGGACTTAGGAAGTAGGTTATAAGTAGAGTTATAAGTACCCTAAATGGAGTTACCCCAACTATAACCCTACTTATAACCTACTTACTAAGTCCCCTGCCCCTCCAAGTATAGTCTCCATTGTAGCTCCTTGTTTGTTAACCAACAACTATATTATAGGATCCTAACCATAAGAACGGTTAACCAAAAGAAGGAACTACAATGGAGACTATAGGTAAACCTTAACTGCAGGGGTTCTAGCTTGCAACGCCAGAAGGACCGATATGTCGTACTTGCAAACCGGGGCCTCTTGACCAGGAATCTCGTTTGGGCTACCATAACATGAAAAGCCTGCCGAGTGCGATAAAGCGATATTGCGGTAAGCTAAAAAGGATATCTTGACCGGAATCGCGACACGGGATCTCCTGTGTGGAATAAGAATGCAACTACGACATACGTTCGGCTTTTAAGGCGCGGGCCCACTCGCAGCAGGCACTTCTCGACCTTCTTGTTCAACCTCGATACTGGATTCTTTGTCTAGGGACTGATTACTTTTGCGAGCAAACCATGGGAAACAAAATGACGTAATGCTTGGAATATGAGTGATACATACATACATACATACATATATATATATATATATCTATGTTTTGCTAGTTAGTTAAATGCACATATGTATATGTATTGCATGCATACATACATGCATGCATGCATGGATGCCTGTACGTATGTATGTGCGCATGTATGTATGCATGTACATATGTGCATGTATACATTTACATATACACATGCACATGTACACGCATACTTACATGAGAGCGACCCGACCGTGAATGCCAGAACGCCAATGACTCTCAACCTTGTGCCGAATTCCCTAGACACAACAGCTTCCTACTTGCCAGCAGTTGGGATTTTATAGGGGCACCAGTCACCAGTGCCCCGAAAAGCTTCAAAGTCACCTGCCCTACTACTACTACTACTACTACTACTACTACTACTACTACTACTACTACTACTACTACTACTACTACTCCTACTCCTACTCCTACTACTACTACTACTACTACTACTACTACTACTACTACTACTACTACTACTACTACTACTACTACTACTACTACTACTACTACTGCTAGGGCTTTTAGCAGCCCTGACAGGTGGATTACGAGATCCTCCGTTCTCGTGGTCTAGGCACGGTGTAAGTGTCAGAGGTCATATAGCCATGACGAATAGAAGACACATGAACAAATATATTATCATTATGGTTCTCCGGATAGAGAGCATGGAGCGAAAGCACCTCTTTCCAACAAAGGCCTCAAGACTTAAAACCCTGGCACCTCTAAGATACCTGCACTTCCGTTTTCGTCTGGAACACGACTTCACATGAATCACCCCGCTCACCTGACCTGAACGCGAAATCCACCTAAACCAGTAAACCCTGAACTTCAAGACCTTATAAACCCTAAACCTTAAGCCGTAAACCCCTAAAGTACTGAATCCCATCAGGGCAAAAAGACATCCTCTTCTCTGAGACAAGGGCCATGTAAGGATCCAAAGCGCCGGCATTCTGGCCTGCTCCGGGCAAATCCCCGCAGCCTATAATGTAAGGTCGTGAATCATTAAATGTGCAATTCTGGGTGTCCCCTATGATACTTATCGTATGAAATACCCCCCTCCCCTTCCGGAAAAAAAACAACTAGCCTAATTACTAAGGCCCCTACATTATCGTGCCCTTATGCTATCAGTTACAATAACCCACATATATATATATATATATCTATATCTATATATATATATATGTATATATATATATAGAGAGAGAGAGAGAGAGAGAGAGAGAGAGAGAGAGAGAGAGAGAGAGAGCGAGCCCTTTCAAGGGAACCCTATTCTAATTATTAAGGCCCCTATCTGAGAAGCCTTGCCATCCTCACCCCAAAGCCCGACTCGTTCTGTTCCGTTCGTGGTCTCCCAGGGAGCCCATAACCCTCGTCTCGCGCGGGTTATATATATATATATATACACACACTATATACATATATATATATACTATATATATATATATGTATACTATACATATATACACACACATATAACATATACATACACATATTCAGTTTTGGATTCTGCGCTGTTTTGCAGTGGATGGGGGGCACTACTCTAGGTGCCAAAACTCTGATATACAACTAATCCCTTTCACGCAACTCTCCGCGAGGGCTTCAGTTACCGAGACAGTAGGTTACTAACCAGACGTTGCCTACCCCAGTAACCTACTATTTACCTATAGTCTCCATTGTAGTTCCTGTTTTTGGTTAACCAATTTTATGGTTAGGATCCTATAATAGAGATTTTGGTTAACCCAAAACAGGAACTACAATGGAGACTACAGGTAGGTAAGGGGAGCCCTGGGGCAGATTCGTAAACGGGATCCCGAGGGTGCCGGGAGTGAGGATTCCTCGAAGCATCGAATATGGCGCTGTCTTTGTATGTTGGGGGTTTAGGGTTTCGGGCTTAGTCCGAAGCCCTCTGACAGTGCGACTTGAATCTCAGATCATGTGCAGCGAGGAGGGGGTATAGCCAACCAGATTCCTAGAATGTCGGCAGAAGAAGAAACAACTTGGCTTGGCAAGTTGAGAGATCAGATTTAGGATTTTATATCTCGAAATCAGCTCCTGCTTCTGCATGCCCCGCGGATTTCGAAGTAGACCAAGCCAAAAGCCCCGGCTGCAGGACGACGTACACACCCGAAAGGACGGTGAGTCTCGACATAAAAAAACATTGTTGCCGTATGGGCCGTCTGAACCCGCCAAGGTGCGTAAGGAGTTTTCTTCGAAAGCTGGTGGTTCGCCGTTGGTCGCCTGCATGTCAGCACTGACGTGACAGATTAACGATAATGGATCTTGAAGCCCCTGTATGAAGCATCGACCTGCATTCAGGATGTTGTAGAGTAGAGCACTTGAGCTTGATATGCCATGTAACAATGCATCGGTATAGAATACGTATAGATCCCTTTTAGCGGCGCCCCTACTCTGAGCCCTGAACCCTGACCTGCTGGCACCTTGAAGGGTGATGTAGACAGAGTGCATTTGCGATGAAATTCAAGTCGCCGAACTCATGAAAACAGTTCTTTTTGGGGTGCGAATCGTGCCCGTGCCGAGGAGTGGTGTGCATCTTGGACTCACGAGGGTCTCGAAAGCCTCAGCGTTGCTCCTGAAATAGCAAGGGCTTCCTGGCCGTAGACTAGATGTCGACTTCAACAGTCAACTTGTTGATTATTAGGGCTCCAGATTTAACAACAAATAAGCCAGATCGATACGTAGTACAGTAGCTTGCATTCGCGCTCCACACTACCAGCCGATCAACACACACACACACACACACACACACACACAGACTGAGAGCTCCAAGACACAGGCACTCTCAAGGCGACCCTAAAGCCAATGTTACGCTGGGTGTCCCTCCCATGCATCTAGCAGATGTCTGCCTCTTCTTGCTTCAGCATCTCGTCCACCTGAGCAAATTTCATGCATAATACTTTAAACACAACGATGCTTGTCGATCTGCTTGTCGCAGCTGCATGCGGGAGCCATTGCCAGAAAGCCTAAGCCCTGAACCTACAGCACTTCCGTTGTGATGAAGCCCTGCAGCCCTGGATACTGAAATCCCGTTTCAGTCGGTACGACGGTCTGGCTACAACGTGCCAAACGCAGTGCTACAGGACTGGCTGAATTTGTTGGGGTCCGGATTCGGATGACCTGGGTCCTGAAGCCCACAACCCTAAACCCTCAACCCTAAACGCTAAACCTTCAACCCTCAACCCTAAACCCCTAAACCCTCAACCCTAAACCCTCAACCCTAAACCCTCAACCCTAAACCCTCAACCCTATACCAGACCCTGAGGTGCCCAACTGCGTGGCACATTTTGTGCTGACGGATCTTGAGCTTGTCGATGGCCTGTCGTGGCTCTTCACGCTTGGGGTTTGTAGTGTAGGCCTTAATAATAAATAGAATAGGGTTCCCTTTAAGGGGGCTTCGGGTTCAGGGTTTCTAAACCGTAAACACCAGGAAGCCTAAAGCCTAAACTCCTAAACTGAGTGCTCTCGGCAGCTCAAGGTCCCCACCAAGCCAGCTGAAGCCCACAACCCTAAACTGTAACACACCAACACCAACGAACAAAACCAAACCCCAAAATCCTAAAAGTTAAAATGCTAAACCCTTCTAGTATAGACCCTAAAGAGGAACTTTTCGAGTACTTACTCTTATCGAACCCTCTGAGGTACCCTGAAAATGACCCGATGTCTGCCCCAGCTGCTTATTAGTGCTCTTATAGAACCCTTAAAGCGTATAATTAGGTGTTACGGTTTGGGCTCCTCTCAAAGAGCCCTTAAGGGACACCTGAAAGTAGCCCGGTGTCTGCCCCAGGTCTGACCCTCTCGATCTTCTCGTCACCCGTGTAGCAGTTCAGCCTCTCACACCTGGCACCGGGCCCAGGGTGCAGGGCTCGGGGGTTTAGGGGTTTGGGGTTTAGGGGTTTAGGGTTTTACATAGGGGTTTACGGGTTACCGGGTTTGGGGTTTAGAGGTTTTAGGCTTTTAGGGGTTTGGGTTTTAGGCTTTTAGGGGTTTGGCGTTTGGGGGTTCAGGCTTTTAGGGGGTTCAGAGTGTAGGGTTAGTGAGTGTTAGGGTTTAGGGTTCAGGGTAGGGTTTAGGGTTTCGTGTTCGGTCAAGGTCTACCCCAGGCGTGCTTAGCCCTAGCCTTTCAAGGTGACCTTCTAGTTGGAATTAGGACCCCAAGCACCCTGCTGGAGGTAGATGGCAGTCTAGAAGCACGACTCCAAGACGTGGCCCACTGGCCCACATTTCCCTCTTCATCGTGGTCTCTACACTTTCAGAGCAACTGATGGGCTCTACCGATCCCGGAGACGAGAAAACCTGCCGTGCAAAAACGTGCGTATCGAGAACGTACTGGCGAACACTCATTTCGTATCCTGAAGTCGCAGCACACGAGGCGCTCTTCGTTCTTTGAGGGCATCTTCTTGCAAAACAAGAGTTGGGATTCAAGAATTTGAGGTATTAGGGCCAAGGGCTTTGAGGGCTTGGGAAAAGGTGGTTGATGGTGACGTTGAGGGCTTTTCCTTGCAAAACCTCTAGCTGCTCTAGCTTTCTGCGAATGTGCAATCGTCAAAACCCTGAACCCCAGCAAGCTTCCCGGCCTCCCACCCTCACCTGAGCGGTGAGGGCAATTCGCACATACATCTTTTCCCTTGGAAGTTATCTCAAACAACTACCCCAACAGAAACGGACAATGATCTAAGTAGCTCGCTGATCCGTCTACACGATCCGGTGTACCTACGCAAGACAGCAAACCCTCTTCCAGTTTCTCGTTCCAACATTCCTTGAAAGTACCAAGTACGCACTACCGAGCCCGAGCTAGCATCGCTTTCATGAGGACCCCTGATCCCTAAACCAAACCCAAGGCCATTAATGCTCCAAAAGCCCCCTCAAACCAACACCCTCGAGTCTATTTGGTGTCCTAAACCTGGGCTTGGCCGCAAAAGCGAAGATAGATACAGATGGAAGGATGGATGGAGGGAGGGATGGATAGATGGATAGATAGATGGATAGATGTATAACTGGATCCATATACATGTATATAGGATACTATTGCATCGTATAATATAACATTTCTTATTAGATCATGTTATGGTTTTTCTGTATACCATGCTATATTGTATTATGCTATGTTATATTGAGTTATTTCATATCATGTTATATTACAGGATACTACCATATCGTAAACTATATACGTACACAATCACTACATATTCATTATGTATACACAGTATGTGTGCATGTATGTATGCATGTATGTGTGTATGCATGTATGTACGCATCTATGTGTGTGAACATACATATACATATAATCGCACACACACATATATATATATATGTCGAGAGAGAGAGAGAGAGAGAGAGAGAGAGAGAGAGAGAGAGAGAGAGAGAGAGAGACAGAGAGAGAGAGAGAGAGAGAGAGAGAGCGAGCGAGGGAGCGAGGGAGGGAGGGAGGGAGGGAGGGAGGGAGGGAGGGAGAGAGGTGTCCTCTGCTTCAAGGCTGTAGATGCGGATCTGGGGTCTTAGTGGGTTTAGGATTTGGGTCTGGGGCTTGGGATTTGGGGGCTTAAGTGGTTCTGGTTTTCTTGGGGGGTTGAAGGCTGAAGGCTACACGGTTTAGGGTTTAGAGCCAATGCTTTAGGGTTTAGGGTTTAGAGTTTAGGGTTTAGGGTTTAGAGTTTAGGGTTTAGAGTTTAGCGTTTTGGGTTTACCCTCCACACACATCTACAAACTCGCACGCTCTTTAGGCCTTTAAACCCTGCGCTAAGCCATCCCCAGAATTAAACCCTTCGCGAAGCCATCCGTCAGCAGCAAATCACCAAAACTCAGGGATTTGCTAAGGGTTTAGGATCAAAATCCTTCAGTGTTTAGGGTTCAAGAATGGCATTCAGGATATGTGCAGGCTTTGGGGTTTAAAGCTTCTAGAGTTTGGAGTTTTGGCATCGAGAAGATACCCATAGAGTATTATGTAGGGTTTCTATCGTAGGAATTACTAGTATAATTTGGGGAAGTATGCCCCATAACAGCGCCTAGGACCCGTTGGGCCAGGCAACGAGAATAGTTCAGGCCAAGGGGCCCATGACACAGTGGATCCTCAGGTACTCGACACGGCATGGCAACATCACCATATACCATGCAAGCCACGGTTTAGGAATTAGGGGTACTGCAGTAGTATACCCTCATTCCAACTACACTTACAGAGACGAGGGGTACAATAATCCTCATCCTCACTTGACGCACTGCTTAAGGGCTCAAGGGACTTAGTAAGTAAGGTTATAATTGGGATTCTAGGCGCGGTCGTAACTACTGTTATCCTAATTGTAACCTTACTTACTAAGTCCCATGGGTCACCTGAGCCTTCAAGTGCTTTCTACAGGGGAAGGAGTGCTGGGGCAGCCCTGCAAGCCGTAGCTGGTTTTCGATCAAGACCTTACATAAAGCCCTGGCCCCGAAAGCTTACCCCTGAGAAGACCCCTATAAGTGGGAGAAGGTTTGTTAAGCAGGGGTCTGCATTTTCCTATCAGCTTCGTATGCTAAAGTTTTTGGAACTGAATTGATATATTCGCCCCTTAGGCTAGGTGCATTGCGAGCCCTGAAGGCTAGCCTGAACGCTAAGCCAGCCCTGCAACCTCTGCCTCACACACCTTAACTACCCTAGATACGAAACCCTTTAAACCTATCAGCACTCATAGTATCCTTGTTATTGTCACTGTTACAACTACTGTTATCATTAGCAGTATGTTCATGTCTATTATCATCGTTAACACTCTGGCGCCGAGATTCTGCTGGCCGTCAGCTTCCTTCCCAAACTTGATGGACTGTGCCAAGGAAGCCGCCTCGTCTGCAAAGCCTACTACCCCCCTTAACTATGTAAGGAAAAAAGCTTGGGGCTTAGGCTTTCTAGTAAGAACTGAGGTGTGTTCCTCAAACAAGGCTCTATGGCTCTTGGTCGCGGACTCTTGGGTTTAAGTTTGGGGCCTTTGGCCTTTGGGTTTCACTTGCTTTGTGGGGTGCTCAAGGCAGTAAGGCTTTAGGATTTACGGCTTTGGGGGTTGACTTCGAGGTGTCAGTCTGGCCCTTTTAAGGTCTTCGTGCTTCGAGCTGGGCGTTTGGAGTTCATGGTTTGGGGCTTCGCCAGGCGGTTATGAGGCCTGCTTCAGATTAGGGTTGCTTGTCGGAGCTTGCTGACATACAAGCGGGCGATCGAGCGAGAGAGAAGGGAGGGAGAGAGAGAGAGAGAGAGAGAGAGAGCGAGAGAGAGAGAGAGAGAGAGAGAAAGAGATAGAGAGAGAGAGAGAGAGCGAGCGAGGGAGTGAGTAGGTGGACAAGCCGATGCAAACTAGCTCTCAGCTTGCTCCTCCAGCCCTTTGGCGGAATCCGACAGTAATCGCCATGATCCTCTTGTGTTGGGATATCATACAACATTGTAGAACATGAGGTAACATGATGTACTTCCATGTAACATGCGATGATAGACTGTACTGGGCTCAAGATTCGGGTTGGGAGCTGATCACAAAACAACGGGCCTTCTCAGCCTCACTAGCCCAGAACATGGCCCCGACTATAGGAGCCTTAAGATCAATAAGTAGAAGAAGCTTATAGGGTATGTTATACAACGATGAAACAAGGAATCTCATTCATATAGGAACCTGCTTAAGAAACCTTGGACCTTCATTGCGGTTTTTGCTATGAATCCTACTATTTTGGTTTTATGGGCCGAGGGTGTCTTAATCAGGTTCCTACACTAGCCCAGAACATGGCCCGGACGGTAGCCCCAAAGAACATCAACGAAACAAAGGCAGCACAACAGCCGGCATGGCCTTCTCAGGACGCTAAAACCCAAACATAACCTAAGAAAAAACTCTACTAAACCTCCAAACCCTGAAGCCTGAACCCTAAACCCTGAACCCTGTACCCTGGTCCCTGAACCCTAAAACCCCCATGCAACGCACATCTACTTTTCTTAAAGCGCGGCTGCAGGGGACTCGGAGCTCAGACGCTTGACATAACATAGGGGCCTAAGGAATTACCTATCTTGTTCCGTAGGGCTCCTTACCCTTAGGGACTGACTATTCTAGCCGCGAAAAGCTAACCTTTGCAACTGTGGTACTCTACTTGTAGTACTTGTAGTATAGTAACTCTCCAAGCCGCTTTTCTAGTCATGAAGGCCCCTTATATCAATCCGTCCGAGAATGTGTGGTGCGTTGTATTATCTAGACTTCTCATGGTGCAACAGACGAAGCACTCGCACATGGCGTGAGAGTTGTTCACATGAGGAACGAATGGATGGAGTACTAACTGCTAATCTTTGATGCTCCATTTCTATATACTGAAAAAGAGCCAGGTTACTCGTGCCAAGGTGAGGGCGGACGGACGCGTTAAAACGATTGTATGGATGAACCGTCACGTACCCCCCCAAGTGTCCAAGATGAACAGTGGCGTTCTGCAGGGTACAGGGTTCTGTCTGATTGGATGGCAGGACTCTTGAGGGAGAACTCATGCGAATTCCGGAAGCCCATGCCACTTTGTGGCAACGTCATATGGGCCACTCCGAATGCACCTCGCCTGCAGCAAGGACACGATGCTAGTAGTCTGGCGCAGTGTCTGATCCTAGAAAGTCACCGGGCGCTTTACGCCGACGTCGTTATGTTGAGTCCTTGCTTTCATCTTTGGGCATGTGGGTGAAACACAGCGATTCCTAAAGCAACCCTAAGACCCTAGACCCAAGGCGTCTCAACCTTAGACCATAGACGCCGAACCCTTGCAGCCTAAATCCTAAACTCTGAAGCGTGCTTTTTCACCCTTCCTTGGCTATCTTCTCCAGCTCACTGATCAGCATGTCCTGGCACAGTACTACGGTTGAT